TTGTTACAGAGTGAGGTTAGTATATTGATAAATGTAGTATAAAAATATTGTTACAATGCCCATGTTTAGTTGACCTGATACAAATGTTTATCATCCAAAAATAGTTGGGGGCACAGGTCTCTGCTACTGTTATTTTGTGGGTCAAAAGCTGAAAAGTTTGGGAACCACTGCACTTTGGTTCCCAAAATTGGGCTTGGAACCCAATTATGGGTCATGAAGCACCTTGGATAATCTCCAGAAATCAATTTAAAGGATAATAAAATAATTCCTGATGTAATATTTTCCCTATAACTATTACAAAAACACAAAAAAGTATAAATAAGTATTTATATTTGTGTACAAGCTGTTTAGATTGTCAAAAAGCTTGTGTTTTTAGGGTTATTAACAAAGTTTGTGTCCTCAGACCAGTAATATTTGGGGTCACTTTTTGCCATGGATATTTTGTGGGTCAGAAGACAAAAAGTTTGGGAACCACTGTTCTAGGGTACATCAGCAATGAAGCTTCAATCTCATATCTTTTTTTTCAACCATGCCCAAGCTGAGCTAAAACTATAGCACTATGTTAACAAGAAAGAGACATCCCTTCAATGAGCCTCAAGCTAATTAAAGTTGTTCATGCTACATATTCAAGCAATAAATCGGCAATCATTGATGTAGTTGTGTGACAAAAATCAGGTCATTTTGTACTCAGAGCAGCTTCGTCTGCCCCTTCTCAACACATGGCCCAGGTCGATGTATGTGTAAAGCATTGTGCTGTTAGTCAGAAGTTTTAAATGCAGAAAATCGTTCGGACAGCAGAGGCATCATTACGCTTCAACGCTTCTGCTTCCAGAAGCTGACTGCTGTCCGTCCGAACAACAGAAAATATGTCCATCTTCATGACCACGGGCATTGTAAGTGACAGCTCACTGCTCCATGTGTGTTCAGGTAAAATGCAGAGAATTAATTTCCCCTCTGCAGGATAATAAAAGCTAATAAAATCTAAAAATTTAGTGCACCCTGAGGCCAGAACAAACCATTTTCTACGTCTGACAAAGATCTGCATTACATCTACATGCAGATAAACATTATTTCACAGGTTCAGACAAAAGATGTGAACCAAGAGACAGTAGAGGTCTTTGAGTCTGATGAATTCTCCTGACTCGAGTTAGAGGAGCATGGAGGGAGAACATTACGACAGAGAGGTGGGTGTTTGTTTCAAACTTGAAGTGTTGGAAGGTTGGGTGATTTGTGTCTAAAGATAGTTTTCCTGTGAAATATTGTGCATTATAAATGAACCATTTCCAGTTGACACTTTATCTAAACAATCAAGACAGCATGTGGGCAATTTAAATTCAATACCACGTTAAAACTGCCACTTGCAAAAAAAAACACATTAAAAATTGCATAAGATATACTGCGAAAAACCAACTTTCATCTTTTTTATTGACTACAATTTAATAATAAAATAAAATGAGCAGCATGCCTTTGTAAAATCTTATCTTTCTTTGATCAGATCAGTCTAAATTTATACTTTGTTGCTATCAGTTTCTGTGCTGTCCAAAAAACAACTTCACAATCATTTCACAACAATGGTTGAAGGAGAAGAGCGCAAACACTGAACTAAGCACGAAGGAGGTAGGCAAGTTGTGAAAAACCATAAAACCACTTGTTTTTCCATAAACAATTCAGTTTGCTCTGCAGAGGCAGAAAGACTATAACTGGACATTTTTTTAATTTATTTTATAAAAGGGAAGGCAGAACTAACTCAAACAGATCAAAAGGAAACTGTAACACGAGGCACACACAGTATATATATAGACGAAGAGAAGTCAAGCGTAAAAACAGGTTTTGATCAAAGACTGAGGGCAGAT